GACGGACAGACGGACAGATGGACAGAGAGACATTCGGACAGTGATGAATTCTTGTTACTGTACCATATTCTTTTGATGATGTTGTGGAATTTAATTTGTATTCTAGGTCGAGAATGCTGCGGCCGCATAACAACAAAATAAAACTTTGTTTGGATTTGCTTTCGGGTGTGCGTATGTGTGGGTGTATGTGTGAGTCTCTGTGTGACTAAACGTGGGGTAGACTCCAGCAAGACTCCAGCAAGCAACATTTTTAATGCACCCAAAAAAAGATACGAAAGATAAAAACAAACAAACAAAAAATGTATTTTTGGATGAGCAAAAATGAAAATTGAAACAATTTGTTACATCCACTACAATATATTGCCTGTCAACCGAAAGAACTAAAAGCAAAGTCCCGCACAATTCATGGATTATGCTTATCCAGATCAAGACAAACCCGTAGAGTTGACAGCTAAAAGTGAATGACGGACCGTGTTAAGGGGCCAATTAAGTTACAGCAACTGCAAAGAGGGAACCCACGAAGGGAGGCTGGGAGGGACGAATGTCAAAGGGCGCTGCGTGCATTGAACCCGCATTCGAATAGGAACTGACGGCGAATCCTGAGGTGACGTGCATTCTGTTGGCATAGGAATTGGCATTTGTGGAAGCAGCCAGATTGATGTTTCTTATGCCCGAAATTTCGTGGCTCGTTAGGGCAGCGTCATATTTTTCTTTTTTTAATGTGCATAATGAATATTTCTAGTTGGGGGACTTGAAGAGGATACTTCTGCACATACTAGTGTGCTCTGCCCAGACCCTGGTGATCTCCTGGCGCTCGTCCTGACGTAACTGAAAATTGCTTGGCTTAGGGAACGGCACGAACATTGGGGAGCAATCGTGTGTTTTATCATTGGGGGATTTATGTCATATGATGGCAGATTGCCAAGCTGCAACTACAGCTACAACTACTACAGTTGGGGCAGATACAGATGTAGCTAGGACATCCAGAATGTTTCTTGGTGTATACGGACTAGCTGGGAGCTGGGAGCTGGCTGGCTGCTGTTTTTTATTTGTTTTATTTTCTCTCATTTTCTTGTATGGTGTTTTTTTACAATTCGTTGTCGAGTATAACGGATAGAAAAAGTTGAGCGAGTCATAAAGAACGTTGCACAGTGGATCTCAAGTGATGAAACGTTTCTCAATGCTAGATATAGTTTTGCTGTATTTATATAAAAACTTTTAAAATTGATCAAATTGTTTCCTTTGAATGATTGAAATGTTGGGGGAACAACTATATTAAACTATATTAAGTTGATAAAACTTCTGTATCGAATGCTTATGTTACAATATATAACTTATTGATGTTGACATAAATTTTGTAGTTCAGCTAGTTATGTATATGGATACGATTATATATATATGTATATATATATATATATATATAAACTTTTTATCAAGCAATAATATTTATAATGTTATTCAAAACAAGATTTGAAACACAAATACTCTCATTCGAAATCCTCCTACATAAATAATAGTTTTTAAATATAATACAAATTATATTGTGGACTTTATCTCAGTGTCTTTGTCACGCTCGTTCCACGGTCATGAGCAACGTAGAGCCAATTTGCTGCGGTCCATCAATATGCTGTGCCATACACACATCCACATCGGCATTGGCATTGGCATCCAGCTGGCTAACAAACCCAAATGGCCAAACCAGGCAGAGCTAAGCAACTGCTGGCAGTCGGCAGTCGTCAGTC